TTGAGCTTTTGAGCTTGAGCCAATCCTTTGTCCTTAGCATTTTGAGGGTTCCACTTTCACATCCATGCCATGCCAATCATTGAGCTTTCCTGAAATAGTCATCTTGGAATAGCATTAGCTCAATGAGCTATATGTTGTTATGAATTACCAAAACCACCTAGGGATAGTTGCACTTTCACATAGGTTTCACTAGTGGTTTCTCTCGAGAGCATAAGTTTTCTACGGTGGGTGAACAAATTACTGTTGAGCAATTGACAGAATTGAGCATAGTTATGAGAATATCTAGGCATGATCATGTATATAGGCATCACGTCCGTGACAAGTAGATCGAAACGATTCTGCATCTACTACTATTACTCCACTCATCGACCGCTATCCAGCATGCATCTAGAGTATTAAGTTAAAAACAGAGTAATGCTTTAAGCAAGATGACATGATGTAGAGATATAAATTAATGCAATATGAAATAAACCCCATCTTGTTATCCTCGATGGCAACGATACAATACGTGTCTTGCTGCCCCTTCTTTCACTGGGAAAGAACACCGCAAGATCGAACCCAAAGCTAAGCACTTCTCCCATGGCAAGAACTATCAATCTAGTTGGCCAAACCAAACGGATAATTCGAAGAGACTTGCAAAGATAACCAATCATACATAAAAGAATTCAGAGAAGATTCAAATATTGTTCATAGATAGACTTGATCATAAACCCACAATTCATCGGTCTCAACAAACACACCGCAAAAGAAGAAGATTAAATCGAATAGATCTCCACAAGAGAGGGCGAGAACATTGTATTGAGATCCAAAAAGAGAGAAGAAGCCATCTAGTTACTAACTATGGACCCGAAGGTCTGAGGTAAACTACTCACACTTCATCGGAGAGGCTATGATGATGTAAAAGCCCTCCGTGATGACGGTCCTTCTCCGGCGGAGCTCCGGAACTGGCCCCAAGATGGGATCTCATGGATACAGAAAGTTGCGGCGGTGGAATTAGATTTTTGGCTTCTGTTCTGATCGTTTGGGGGTACGTGGGTATATATAGGAGGAAGGAGTACGTCGGTGGAGCACCGAGGGACCCACGAGGCAGGGGGGCGCGCCCCCTACCCTCGTGACCGCCTTCGGTACTTCTTGGAGTAGGGTCCAAGTCTCCTGGGTCTTACCCGAGAAGAAAATCATATTTCAAAAAGGATTTTTTTCTGTTTGGACTCCGTTTGATATTCTGTTTCTTCGAAACACTGAAATAGGCAAAAAACAGCAATTCTGGGCTGGGCCTCCGGTTAATAGGTTAGTCCCAAAAATAATATAAAAGTGGAAAATAAAGCCCAATATAGTCCAAAACAGTAGATAATATAGCATGGAGCAATCAAAAATTATAGATACGTTGGAGACGTATCAGCTGCATTTTTGCGCGCTGCATTTTAGCACGGCTGCTGGAGCCAGCGCTGCGCGCCGCGCCAAACCAGGCGATGGGCGCGCAGCAAATCAGTTTTTTGCGCGCGGCGCGTTCGGCGCCTGTTGGAGATGCTCTTAGGCCAACTCCACTACGCGCCCCCATTCTGTCCGGCCCCGTCTGTTTGGGATAAAACGGACAAATAAGGTGGCCCAGCGCGCGACGGTCCGGACCCATCTAGTCCGTTTTGTGTCTGGACCGACCCATTTCGAGTGCATCTTTGCGTCGGGTTTGGGTCGCCGCGGACACCGAACGGACGCGCCGCTCATCCGTGTCTGGCCGCGTGGCGTGGCGGCCACCTACCTTCCACTCGCCAACATCAATGCGCACGGATGGCCGACCCCACCTGTCATCGGCCCAATGGAAGGTCGTCGTCCTTCTTAAATGAGGAACCCGTGAATCGGTCGTCGTCCACACTGCCTCACTCCATCCCGCGGCCTCCTCGAAACCCGACCGCGCTAAACCCTAGCCCTCCCTTGTCGAGCTCGCCGGCCGGCCACCTCGAAGCCATGGGCTTCTGGAACCGCAAGGGGAAGCACGACCGCGAGGCCGACTCCTCGTCGGGGCGCCGCGCCGGCTCCGTGAAGAAGGAGGCCGCATCACCACCACGTCGGGCCCCCGCGCCGCCTGCTTTCTTCATCGGCCCTCACGTCCGCCGGCGAGCGCGACCGGCACTACATCCGCACGTCGGTGTGCCGCTGTTATTAGGAGACGAGGATGTCGCTCCAGGTCGCCGCTCCCCTGGAGCGACATCTACCTCCCCAACAACTGGCACCTGTCCACCCATCGTGTGCCGATCTCGCTGGTCCCGGCAAGCGGTCGTGCGCGACGTGAAGAGATCGAGCGCCGCCGCCGCCTCCTCCCTGATGACGTGTACTACGACGACAGGTACGCCCCGGACTCCTTCCTCTGGGATACCTGGCTCAGGGACGAGCACGACGTGCGGCGTGCCTCCTTCTTCGCCGGCACGACGTCTGGGCCACGGCGGCCACGTCGGCCACGGCGGGAGCACGCAGCGCCTGCTCTCCAGGAGCGCGGGCATAGGCTGGTGCGCGGCCTCACGCCCACGCCGTCGCCGTCGCCTTCGCCATCTCCACCACCACCTCCTCGCATGACAGCGGAGGAGGAGGCTCGTCTCATGGCGCGTGTCATGGAGGACTTCATGTACACGCATGATGAGTGGCAATGGGAGGGCCTGGAGGAGATGATGGCCCACTCCGCCGTCGGCGAGGTAGCCATCCCCGAGCTGGAGATGGTGGCCGTGGAGGAGGCGATGGAGGAGGAGCCGGTGGCCGCGTTCCAGCCGGGTCTGCTGGGCCAGGGGTGGGGCTGGTCCTGCACTGCACCGGAGATGGCCAGCCGCCGTGGGCGTGAACTGGTGCGCCACTCCGCCGCGGTCACCGGAACAGGAGGCGTCGCCACGGGAGGAGGTCGTGCAGGCACCTCCCGCCGTCCAGCCCGCCCCCGTCTACCGCGCACCGGCGGCCCACCTCTGGACGCCGCCGGCCTACGTGGACCTCGTCAGCGACGCCGACGACACCGACGGCCACTGAAGACGGCGATGGCGACGGCATCGACGGGCACGGGCAGGAGCGCGCTGGCGGTGACCGTTTTTTATTTTCTTTTTTATGTTTAATTATGTCAAGTTGGACGTGAAACTGGGCCGTTTTGTGACCGTGACGACCCTAACTAAGTTTTATGTTTATTAAACTACGTTTATTTGCTTTTTTTAATCATTTTATTTACGTTTTCTATTTTTTTTAAATCATGTCCAACGCGGACGTGATTTAAGGTGCGGCCGCAAGATGGGCGCACACACGATCCAACGGACAAGACGGACACGGGCGAACCCATCGACGTTTCAAAGGGACAAAATTCGACCAAACCAAACGTTGATTTAAGCTCGCGCGGTGGAGTTGGCCTTAGACGGAGTCACGAAGAGAGCGAGATTTGTCTGGTCGAGTCAGGAATGTTTGACTTGTGACTTGCAGTGCCACGTGTGAGCTACCGGCCAACACGGCACTGCCACCTGCCCTCGCCTCCTCGATTAGCGCGGCCAGCACGCTCGTGGCGTTTGGGATGGTCAAAAACTCAAAAGCCGGAGAGTTATTAGCGCTGGCCCTTTCACGAGTCTCTCGTGGTGAAGTTTTATAACGGGAGCAACCTGGTTGCGCTGGCAAAAAAAGGTAACCATCGCACTCGTAACGTTGATAAGTGTACTTATCGCCGGAGTAGTATTATCTTCGTCGTGGTTTATCGGTCCTCATTGTATTTTATGCAAAATTTTGATCATAAATTTAATTAATAATATATTTATACATGTCATAAAAATTATATTATTGAAAACTATATTTAAATAGGAATCCAACTATACAATTTTCGTTGACATGTATTAACATTTTGTAAATTAAATCTTTGGACAAAATTTGACATAAATTATAAAGGGGACCAATAAACCAGAACGGAAGTTATAGTTAATTAATTATAGCGAGGACATTTGACGACATTTAACCTTGCTGGTCGAGTCTCGGTTTCGGATTATGACGGCCACCAACTTTTGAAATGGCCCTCAAGGAAGGTCGTCGAGAGACGCATTAGCAGCGAGACTTAATTAGCTACTTCTTCTGTTTCATAATAAAAGAGTATTTTTGACACTATATTATTGCTGCCAAGCAATCACAAAACTTCATTAGAATCAAATCTTACTCCAAAGTAATCATTCATCGTGCTTGATTGAGTGGTGTTTTCCGAACATTGGTGGCACTTGGCATCGTGCTCCCTTCAGTTGTTCTTCAGATAGCAGATAGCGCAGCATCGTTGGTCGTTTGATGCGATCCATAGAAATTTCCGATATATATTTTTCAAAATATTCCTTGATATTAAAACTTTAGCATCGACTCAAAAACACTGAAAAGCCATACCGTTTTTCAGCGATACGTACAATCAAACATATGAAAATTCTACATAAGATTCAAATGGGTATGACATTGCAATTCTATGATTTTTCTATTTCTGTTACTAGTATGTTTTTAGAATCATGTGAATATAGAGGCCCTTACCTAGAAGATTTTTACTTCTTTCATTCAAAAACTTGAAAAAACTTGTCTCAAACTTGTTCCTCAAATGAATGTATCTATCATTAATTGAAGGACAACCCTTAGTAGCCATAGTTGGAGCAAAGAAGACGACTGTTCCAAGTGAGTTACTAGTACTAGGATGTCACACTTCACTGTTCTCGCGGGTCACGTCCCTTTCATCAGCTGCCCATCCCACCGTCCATTTCCCTGATCGGACGGTACAACGACAGCAACAAAAATCCCCAAAGATTCTTGAAAAAATCAGACCCGAGAAAGAAAGGGAGAGGCGCAACACGAAAAGAGAACTGAAACGCTGCAATAAATAAATCCACTACCGCTTTTTCTCTCTCTCGACATCTCGAGATATAAAGCCACTAGTGCTAGTGCAAAGAGGAAGGAGGGAGAGACAGAGCGGTGTGAGAAGCAGGTGGAGCTGCAACAGTTTGCCACATCTCCCTTCCCTCCCTTGCATGCCGATCGCCTCCAAGCTCCTCTACTTCCAGCGCCGCCCCTCGCCGGCGCCGCCGGAGCCCCCCGACCCGCGCCGCCGGCCCTGCCGCGGGGCGAGCGCCTCCGCCCCCCGCCGCCAGCGCAGCTCGGCCGTCTCAAACCACCACCACCACCATCATCACAAGCTGGTGAGCTCGCGCCGTCTCATCTCATCTTCCTCGATCCCCTCCCTACCCTGGCCCAAGTGGCCTGCGATCTGTTACTTTTTCTCTGCATGGTTTTGCTTCCTGTCTGGAGCTTCAGTTGCCGCGATTTGCGGGGGCTTGTTTTTGCGAGTCCGGATGTTAAGGGTTGAGGCAGCAATTCAGGGGTGCGTTTTGATGCGCGTCCGCGGAAAAATATCGAAACATTTGTTTCACAAAACTAGATAGTGCAGTAGGGTGTGGGGACGCCATGGGGTCAGAGCAGTTACAGCTAGTCAAGATTCAAGAACAAGGTTGGTAAAATTCATATTTTATACATGGACTGAGGAGCATGGCCCTGTGCACAATTTGGTAGTAACACTTAATTCAGAAAAGCTACTGTTACTATACTAGATTTTTTTTATTAGATCAAGGGAGAAATACTGTTATTTTTGTGGGACTAACATGAAGACCAAGTAGAATATGTATTATGTGTTCTTGGTGTACGTTTGCCGGGATTGGTTGGGAATTGAGATGAACCAGGGTGTGGAACCATGAACCAGCTGCACTTCTGTTTATGTGTGTACCCTTTGTTCAATACCTGACCGCGTACATGTTTCGCCCACGCACAAATTGTTCACTGCATAGGAATGATTGTGTTGCATATAGCTCTTGTTAGTTTGTTCATGAGTGTTGTTTTATTTAATTTTGCAACGAAGGGACAATCTCGTATTTCCTCATAAACATCTTTGACAAAGAGGCTGCAGATGTTTTTGGCAAATCTGAGCTTGTACCAGAAATTTTGTGCAGTCTTTTTCCAAACTATATATATAAGTAACTGGTTTTAGAATTTAGGGGGTTCGTGTATTGAACTGATAATCATACTTTTACAGTAAGTGTTGTCGTAGAGCCAGTATATACTGGAATATTCTTTCCTAGAAAAATGAGGCTCTACTAATCTATTGTGGAAAGTTCAGTGTGTGCATGACAATGATAGTTCTTTTGAACAGCTATTCAGTGACATGGATGAGTAATGAGTTGCAGCCTTGCAGGCTTTGGTAGAATGATTACGCCAAAGCTTTAAGTGGCCGAAATCATTGTGGGGACTACAAAGTGCTAATCTCTGTGATTGCTCACCGTCTGAATGTTTATTTTCAGAAAGAGCAACCATTTGTCTAGTGAGTGTTATTATGTCAAATATTCCTCATGTTTGATCAATTTCTACCAAATTACTTGCTAGAACTCTGATAATGGAGCAAACACAGTTTTGAGACATATCTCAGTTATGAGCAGATGAACTCTTGACCCTTATCACAGGCTTGTAGCCTATGGAAAATTAGTTAAATATGTGTAGAATCTCCTATTGATGTCATGAGTTGGCTGCTATTTCCTACACATCGTTGAGCTATTTCCAGGCATGCAACAAACCACTCTCGGCGGAGAATAACACAGTCTTATTTTCCCAAGTTTTCTGTTGTGATGATGATAGTTGTGAAACGTTCTTCAGTCACTACGAATAGGTTCTAACATGTGTTATTAAAAAAAAAAACAGGGCCAGGAACTTGTTCCGGCAAACCAAAGAGATGGGGCTAAGCTTGTGGGATGTGCTGGAAACAAAATAGAACATATAGGGTTCACGTGCTCCAGGTCAAGGCTAAGCCGCAGTGTATCGGATCATGGACGGCTTCCTGATGCTGTTCAACAGGCTAGAGAAAGGCTTCTTCAGAGGCTTAATAGTGTGGACTTGTCAGGAAGAAGGTCCAAAACAAAACTCATCACGTTGTTCTTCCAGTGCAGAATTTGATGATCTATATTCGTTCTATGTTTACTCATGATCGTCCATTGTTTCAGGGAAAACACTTCGTGCTCCGAAACCATTTGGGCTGGAGTAGTAACTCAACCTGCTGACATTGGTATTTCCAACTTGGCCGATAGCGAACTTGGTAGCCTAACCAGTTACTTCCAATCCAGTGTATCCATCACCACCTACAACAAAGTCCAAGAAACATTCCCAGAGCCTTTCAGCACCGTAGATAAGTGCATGCCTGTCACCCCGTGCACCGAACCAGTCCATGTGCTACAAGAAACAGCCTGCGAGTGCTCGATATGCCTGGAGAGGTGCGGCGAGGCAGACGGGCTCATGCAGCTGCGGTGCAAGCATGTCTTCCACTCGGCGTGCCTGGAGCGGTGGCTTCGATCCCACGGCGACTGCCCCTACTGCAGGGGCAGTGTGCTCCTGACGTCGGAGGAATGAGAGCTGAGGATGACACCTAAAATGTGTTGCAGCTTAACCTGTTGTTCTACCAAGGACCTTTTGAGTTTGTTATAATTAATTAGTGAGGTGATGACACTGTGCGGTGTTGCAGTGCGCGGCTTGAGCGATGAGATGCTACAACTGGCTGTTTATCTCTGTACAACTACGGATCATGAGATTAGAAGCAGTAAGATAGCTGCTGTTCTATGAAGCCTTTGTTCTCTGCAGTGTGTGATGATGCTGTATTACTGCTCATTTAGCCGAACTACTTACACTATTTATACTGAACTTTCGTTTCCTCCACCCACAAGGTTCATAGAATATTTGAAGGTCCTACATGAACACCAAATTAGCTGAACACTGCAAGCAGGGCACATCTAGATCTGCACTAGTTATCGCAGATCTAAGTGCCTCAATTGAACTAAAAAGAGAGAGAAAAAGACAATAAAAAATGTTTGCACAAATCTTCATGTAAAATCAATGATATAGAGCTTAGATGTACAATACTTAAAGCACATCTAAATGTGCTTTAGCAAAACTGTTGCAAATACTAGGTGGATTGGCATGCACCGCGTGAATCACCACAAATAAGGGAAGTACGGGAGCTTGTTAGAGAGGCGTCAGTTGACTGGCGACCGACCCGGTAGTTTCTTCCAATCATGCAGAAGAGTTGCATGTACATTCATAAAGAAAGAAGATAATACACCGCCAAAGAAGCCACGATCAATACAAAGCCAAAAATGACATAAATATACATATCAATTGACGACCGACCCAATAGTTTTTTTCCAAACCATGCAGAAGAGTTGCATGTATATTTATTAAGAAAAAATATAATACATCAGCAAAGATGGCACGACCAATACAATAGCCAAAACGACATAAATATTGGCACAGAATCCGGTGAAAAGTCCTTCTGTTTCAAGCTAGTTTTTTTTTTGAGTGGTAAACCAGACTTTATTGATCAATAATTCGGTTTACAGGAATAACAAAGGGATCATGGGGTACTCTCAGCCACATATGGCGCCCTTGAACTAAAAAAGTACAAAATTTAGCTAAGTTGTGAGCATCAACATTCCCTTGTCGACCTTCAAAGATGAAGTCACATCGAACAAACTGCCTGGGCCTGGATCTCCTTTATAATAGTACTATATCTCCCTTCTGACCCTTTCTTAATTTCCTCCACAATTGTCTAGCAGTCACAAGCAACAACAATATGGTGTAGATATAGATCCTGAGCTAGGGCAAGAGCCTCGCGGCAAGCCAGCGCTTCCAACATCGGTGGATCACTTATCCCATCAAAAACCATTGCTGAGGATCCCAGGAAAAGACCATCATGATTCCTGCATGGGAAAACTTTGTTTTTTCCAAACTCTAGCTTTTGAAAAATTTACTTATGCCACTCTAGAATTTGACATTTCACTTTTGCCACTCTTAGTTTTGGACAATACATCACAATTGCCATTCCGTGGCAAAAGCAATAATTTTAAAGTGGCAATTGTGATACATTATCAAGACCTAAGAGTGGCAAAAGTGAAATGAAAAGTTATTGCTTTTGCCATGGAATGACATTTGTGATGTATTGTCAAAACTAAGAGTGACAAAAGTGATATGTCAAATTATATAGTGGCATAAGCAAAGTAGGCAAAAGGTAGAGTGGCAAAAACAAAGTTTTCCCTTCCTGCATATGGTAGTGGCTGCCCCTCTTCTCCCATTTCTGGAAACTCCCCCGTCGACCTGAATTTTAGCAACTCCAACTTCGGGCGCCCTCCACCCTTGCCTGGCTACAGATCTCGCAGCTGTGTGTGTCTCACCATGTGTTGCCCCCGGTTTAGTCTGGATAGTTGTGAGTTCTGCAATGAAGCTTCTTACAAATGAATGAGTAGCGTGTGGGCTTTGCAAGTCTCCCTCATGGATAGCCTTCCGCCGAGCCCACCATATTGCCCACATAGTCACCGGCATCGTCACCAGACTATCTCGTGGAAGATGATCAATAGCTGAAAACAACCACACTTTGGCATTCGGCTCCGTCGACGCTTGTATAAAGTCAAGTATGTTTTCATCTACTAGGGCCCAAACACACCTGGCAACTGAGCATTCAAATAGTGGATGTCGCCATGAATCTCTCATTTCGCAAAGCTGGCATTTATCATCATCCGCCATTTTTCTAGCATGTCTTATATCTTCTGTCGGGATCGAAAGCTTGGACAACCTCCACATGAAATGACATATTTTTCCAGGAACTTGAACTGACCATAGTGACCCCCAAGATTTGGCTTCCGCTTCAAAACCGGAGGAGCCAGACCTGCCTTCTAACCACTCCTCCCTTCTACGTTTTGTGTCAGCCAACATTTTGTAAGCAGATCTTACCGAGAATACTCCGTTCCTCTCAAAGTTCCAAGCCCAGTGATCGTCCATCTGCCTCGTACAGATCGGGATGGCCAAGATTGCCAAAGTGTCCGTCGCTATAAAGTTTGCATCAAGGGCTTCTCTATTCCATGCTGCATTGTGTGCATCAATTAGCTCGCTTACTAAAGATGGGGGGTTGGCAGAGAGACGAGCTAACGGCCTCATAGTAGCGATCCTTGGTATCCAGTTATCCGCCCAAATTCTTGTTGTTGAGACATCTCCAATTCTCCTAATGATCCCCTGCTTAAGGACATCTCTTCCCTCCATTATAGCCCGCCATACCTGTCATGGTCGGTTGCCAAGTTTTGTCTCAGGAGTTGGCGCCGAGGAGACTTATTTTGCCCAACTGCCTGACTATGTGGTGTAGGATCATTTGGCGCCGACACAGACACCGATCGCTCGTGTTCAGGTTAGTGGGTTGATGGTACCGGCTAGCGTTGTCGAGAGCCAGGTCGCAAGGAGATGCCCGGTACATGATCAATGGAAGTGGGAGGCTATTCAACATGGGTTCGATGCTTACCTTGTTAGCTTTCCATCCTTCGAGGATTTGGACAGGGTCGATGGAATTCAGATGAACGTGCCGTCGGTTAATGCCCAGATGACTGTCACAACATGGAGATCACAGGAGGTCCCACATAAGCTGGAGCTTCAGCAGATTTGGCTCCATGTTGAGGGTGTTCCTCATACAGTGCACCATTTTTGGGGGCTATGGGCCATTGGTACTTTGATGGGAAAGACCTTAGATGTGGATCTCATTAGCCTTCGACGCCGTGGTGTTGTCCGGATTCTCTTGGCTATGACCAACTCTCAGATTTTGTCTAAAGACAAAGATACTGCGTGGCCTTTTGTTGCAACCGATGTGCTGGTTAAGCTCAAGGGCTACGCCTTCACGTTCAGGAGGGAGCCAGCAGGATACATTCCGGATCCTGACTTTGTCCCGTATATCTGGAAACGCAAGGGTGGTGATGCTGACGATGAGAGCGGCGCCAAGGAGAAGGGCGATGAGATGGACACCTCAGAACACCCATCCAACCATCCGTCGTCTAGTGCTGCTCCGGCGAATAACATTAATGTGTCTCATGGTCTGTCGAGTGGGGGCTCTGGTGGTGCGACGGGAGGTGGTTCTGTGCTCTTGGCTGTCACTCCATTTAACTCCTCGTCGCAGACGTCGAGAGGCATGGAGCATGCCGCGGGTCTTCATAAATCCTCACGAATGCACCGGTAGGAGTCACCATTGCCTCATACACCACGGGCAATATATTTATCACGGCCGTCGTCGCCTTCTCGGGCAGCTACGTCGCCGTTCGCTGCCCTCCAGGTGATGCAGGCCACCGGCGGCTCGGCAGGGCACTCGGTCTCTCCTTCTGATAATGTGCAAAGAGCTTCTGAGGTGGCGTCGCAGCCGCCGTCGATGACACGGACGACGTCGTCGAAGATGGCTGTACCCAATCAGGTGCAGGAAGCCGGAGGTACTGCGGGGCGCCCCGGTGCGCGTTTGAAGAGCTGGCATCCAGAGGCTGGAGATGAGGCCGTCCAGTAAGCAGCGCAGTTGGAGCAGCGCATGCATACTACAGGAGGGTTGGAACATGAAGGACTACTCACGTATGTACAGCCATGCAGTGTTGCCTCGGGTATTAAGCCATGCAGTGCATCGACGGGCGTGCATCCATGCAGCGCTACAAGCTCGGCGACTATTCGGACTCCTGTGGAGCAGGACGCTTCCGCAGCTGCTCCTCAGCATCAAACGAGCCGGACGTGTCCACCTCTCCTTTCCAAGCTCCTCCCATGGTCTCGTGTACTGACACGCCATCTTTACTGGCGGCGTCGTGTGAACCGGCGATCGAGACTGCCGGGGAGGGGGTTGCTACTCCACCCTCATCCCCTCCTCCAGCAGCGGTGCTTGCACAACGTTCTTCATCAGAGGTGACACCCACACGCCGGAGTGGCCGCCATTTGGTGGCCGATGATGGTAGGATGGCTACTCACGAGGACTCTTTGACCAAGGCTATGCGGTGAAAAGCAACGCAGAACCTCGACAACCAAGGTACTTCGTCATCACCTAAATCATTTTTATCCTTTTCTACTAGATCCATAGTTTCTAAGTTGAATAAAGTGGGTGTTAGTCTAGGAAATAATGAGAATGATATTTCTGTTTCTGCAAATGCTTTGAGACATTTGGAATACGACCGATTAAAGGTTAAACCACGAGTTTCGAGCAATCCTTCTTCTCACATCTAGATGACGAAGAGCTGCATGCCACATCAGATGGTCAGCTACTCGCTCATGTAGTAGGGGAGGTTTCACACGTGGGCTTGGAGGAGCCCGGGCTTAGTTCATTGATTGAGCTTACAACTTCCGGTCATAAATCCAAGTCCGACCGTTCGAAAAGAGGTCATAAACCCTCTAAGAGGGTGAAAGTTTCTAAATCTCCTATTGTTTCCTCATGAATGGCATGTTCTTTAATAGCAGAGGTCTTGGTGACTTGGCTAAACATATATTCACTGCGAAATGTAATAGGGAGTATAATTTAGACTTTTTGGCCTTATCTGAAACGGGGAGACGTGATTTCTCAGTAAGTCTTCTTAACCGTC